GCTCCTTCTAGTGCTCCTAATGGCATTTATAGGAATCCACCGGACCTGAACAAAAACAACCAATCAGAGCAGAGAAAGATAAAAAGCTTTGCGTTGGAGGCTTAAGTCTCATTCTCAAGATCTCAAAATGTGATTCCCTGGGAAAAAGACTCACGATCAACTGTCTTTTTTGGCTCTGATTGGTTGTTTTCGTCCAGGCCCAGTGGATTCTTGCAAATGCCATTAAGAGCAACCTGATTGTTTCACAGATTTTCTGTTTCATGTACTACTGTCAGGATATAGTAAAACTGTCAGCAAATATGCCAAAAAACTGGTTATGAAGCAGTCTCAATGTAATACTGATGGAATTGTAAAATGTCCAGGTTCCAGGAGATGGCGATCAAGGATCAGGATCAGTGTTAACCTGAAGGCTATACTGTCCCACTCTTTTAGGAGCTAATTTTCCAAGATGTGTACTGCAGGTAAACAGTGATAATAAATAGAGGGAAGAGAGACTGAAGGTAATGGTTTGGTGGCATTAAGATCATAATTAAGCATAGTCCAAAACACAAAACATATAGATGAAACATCAAAGTATTTAAAAAAATTGAGAATAACAGGGACATAATAAATTAATGTAATTTTATGGATTGTTATGGACCAGAGTAGTCACAGACATACAGTTGGAAAAATGATAAATATGCAATATGAGCAAGAATAAAGGAAACCAAAACCAGCTGACAGTGGGGGAATTTCATGCACAGAAAGCGAACACAAGCCAGAATTTTAAAATATGGAGAGCAACAGCTATCAGACAGGGTATGTCTTCTCTAATGGCAAACACTTGAACCAGTTCAACTCACATTGCCCACAGAGACCTCACTGCCTGCCACCGTCTTCTTCTTTCTGGCCATGTTGGGATTCCAGTGACAGACCAGACTGTCGTTCTGCACACTGTAGTTCTTATGGCCGATCAGCCAGTATGTGTTCATTTTGCCTTTACCCTGGCAGGGAAGGGAAAGACACGAGAGAGTGACAGTGACTACCAATCAGAGAGAGTAATGATAATGAAAAAATCCAACTGGAATGAGCATCCACGAATTGAGTGAAACTAAAGGAGTAAACTAAAGGGGGGTGGGTGAGCGCCTTTTTCCAACCTTACCTGAGGGGAGGCTCACCGTGTCAGACTTTAAAATTTCCTGGCATAGGAGCATATTTTCGTTTAACTGGTGAGAATTTTTTATTAACCTTTTAAATTACATTTAAAAACATAATTGGCTTCCACAATATAAAAACAATCTTAACATTTGATTTCCTTTAGAAATCACAACACAGAAAATAAAAGCCATGGCTCTTTTTTACCTTAACCTCAATCTCTCCACGAAGCTGCAGCTCGTAGGCGTTGTCTTTGATCAGAGCCAAGTAGGATTCTGAACTGGTGTGGATTCTCTGAGCTGACACATAAACAACAATAAATACCTTCAAAGTCGAGCTGAGCATGGATCTCAGCACTATCCCTGTCCCACATTGGCTCTAGTTTTGAAAAGTCAAACCACTGCAGGACATATGCTTTTTTTATCTAATGGATGTGAAGAAAGCAGGGAAGGCTGTTATCACTGTGTTTGATGTCAGTCAAACTGTGCACACGTGGGTAAGTGCAGGGTAACACCAAACAGGGAAAGTTGCGAGTCACCAGCTTCGCAGATTTAGGCAGAATATGATGGAAACTATTACAAAGAAAAGGAAATACAGCTACGACAAAGACTGGGAAACCTTCTACCAAGTGAAGCCAGTGGAAGGTAACTATCAATAAGACCATAAGAACTGTAAAACTTTAGCTTCCTTTAATGCTTACTATATTTATTGGGCATGGGAGTTGGGAATGTTGCATTCAAATAAAATATATTTGAGTCTTTCACTCGTAAAGGTCTAACCTGTAACCTCATTGTCTATTGTGCATTGGTAACATGTCCCGCATTGTCCCACACAAATGCACTCTTTGTCCCACATTTGGTTTTTTGTCTGGTCACCCTTTGTGTATAAGTTGTAGAAATGCACTCATGTCTGCCCCAGTATCTTTTCTGGATTCAACTACTGGGAGGCACCACAGTCTGACATTTTCATAATCTACAAATACAGGCTTAAATACAGTTTGCACTATAACTGTGTTTGTGTGAGCTGTGTAGAAATGGATGAACACAGGTCAATGTGTTCTAGTACTGTGTGTCCAGGTACACATACGCAGGCTGGTGGACTCCATTCTAGAGGCCGTGTTGACGGTATCTCCAAACAGACAGTATCTTGGCATCTTGTAGCCCACTATTCCCGCCACACATGGACCTAGAGAGCGAGGAGTTCAGAACTTAAATACATCCCACAATGCAACAGGGCTAGAGAAAAAGAACAACATACTGACTATTGTGTTGTTTTGAAAGCCCTACCAGTAAAGTCATTCAAATTTATAGAGTCACACTAGCAGCTATGTGAGGCTGTACAAAGGCACAGCGGTGCTTTGACAGGAAAGGGGAAGAAAGAGAGAGGGGGTGACATGCAGCAAACGGCCACAGGTCAGACTCGAACCTATCGACTCAATCTCGGTACATGGTACACAAGCTCTACCAGGTGAGCTATCAGGGCGCCCCAGCATGCTAACATGCTTACAATGACATGCTAACATGCTGATGTTTAGCATTTAGGTGATGTTTATTATTGCCATCTTACTTTAGCATGCTAACAATAGCTTATCAGCAGAATATACAATAGTTTTGCAGTAATTTGGTCATAAAACCAAAATTCGAGCAATTTTAACCTGATAAATGGTTAAAGATAAAATGTTAAGAATTCATCAAAGTTATTACAAGTTTGTTGCAAGGGTGGCACTTGCACCTAGGCATCCGACTAAGGTATCACTGATCCACATCGATTGACCGGACCTGCTGCACCTGACAGCGAGCGCCTCTCACCTGTGTGGATGCCGGCTCGGAGCTGCAGCCTGTGGTTGGGCATGTGAGGGACGGAGACCTGTCTGACAGCCGCCACCAGATCCAGCGCCATCTTGGCTATCTCGTCAGCATGTCTGTCCCCGTTTCTCTCAGGCAGACCGCTCACCACCATGTACGCATCCCCAATCGTCTCCACCTGGTTTGAGAGTTTGATAAAAATTTTGTTCAAACTAAATTCAAGACTGCAACCAAACACTGTTTAAAAATTGTAATTTAAAGGTCCAGTGTGTAACATTTAGGAGGATCTAATGACAGAAATGGAATATAATACCCATAGGTATGTTTTCATTAGTGTATAATCGATAATTGATCGTCTGCCATGTTGATGAACCACCATGTTTCTACAGTAGCCAAGAAAGGACAAACAAAACACTAGCTCTAGATTTTTTTTCTATTTTTTTGTGCATTTCACAGCCACCGTAGTTTCTTATTCATGCTTGGAAGGGGAGGGTGAAGCAATGGAGTTTCGATCTGCAATTTTTGTCAGAGCTCACTAAATACTACACACTGGACCTTTAAGAACAAAAACACCACAGTAAGTTTGTCCATTCAGGAATCGAAAGGGTTCACATTGTTGTCTGAGCAGAGAGAAATGCCAATATTCTACAGTGCCTTTCACAAGCTAATTCATTAATGGCTTTTCTTAAAATCACATTATTAGAAAAAAATAAATGGGATTCCTTTATAAGGCTTAACACTGTTTGAAAGTAGATTGAAATTGCTCCCTCAGCACAGTGTTTTGTTCTATTGTTACACTTATGTACTGCGTGCAGCTGGGTAAAAAGTGAAACTAATTAGCCTCAACGGTAATGATTCCTTGGACAGATGTTCAGATATATCAGGCTGCAGATCAACTCAACAGACTTTCATTTATGTTAATGTGTGCTCCCTACAAAAATAAATGCTGTTCTTCAGTGTGGCAGAGAGGAGTGGTTTCAGTGCTGACTGCAGGTGGAGAACCAGGGAAGCTCAGCTGCAGCTTATCAGACTAATTAGCAGTCTGGGAAACACGCCACTCTGTTTGTGCTGCAGGTTCTGCAGGTTTTAGTAAGGCTACAGGCATACACACAACAACAGACACATAGTTGAACTGGGGACTGAGCTGCACCACCAAATTCAGTCAGCGTATGAATTTTCTTTGTGTGTGTTTTCGTGTGTGTTCCATTATAAAGTTACCTTGTAGACATCATAGGAGTCAATGCGTGTGTCAAAGCACATGTAGAGGTTGTTGAGCATCTCCACCACTTGCAGAGGAGTACAGGACGCAGAGATAGAAGTGAAACCCACAATGTCTGAGAAAAAAATGGTCACCTGGAACAAAATGGACTGTGTAAAATGATCAGTTGTACTGGACCAAACTGGGCAAGATAAAGATAAAGTTTATGAGGACAACTAAAATGAATGCAGTCTAATGCAGCCGTCCTACTGTATAATGCATACAGTTGAAGACCACCACAAACTACATCCTGTAAAATTATCAGGATTACATTATGACATAATGAGCTGTTGTATTATACTGCATTAGGACTAGCCCTCTTTCCCCAGTCTTTGTCCAGATCGTCTTCAGGTCAAGTTTTGGGGTGTCATTGGGCAAAAAATCAATTTGAACCTTTCAGCAAATTGTAATCAAGTGGTCAGAAAACCAGCGTAACTTCTGCACCTCCTCTTGGCTCTGTTTTCAGGCTTTAGAAAATCTAGCATGTGACAGGAGGCTCTGGCCAATCAGGTCATTTTAGAGAGATGTACATATGCGTCCGTTTATATGCTGAAGCGTGATTCAAAGGCGGTAATCCTGCAACTTGTGATAAAATTACAATTTCTCCTTAATAATTATATTAAAAAAAGTTACAATTGAATACGCTTAATAACACACATTAATGCACAGTCCAAGTTAAGCATCAGAGCTCATGTATTGTTTTATGATAGAATCATTTCTGCTACAACACAAAGTAAGTTAGCTGAAGATAATGCTCTGGGTAATCCCTTTTAACCTGGTATCTACAGTACATATGGCAGTGTCAGAGTTTAAGTGTAAATTCCCAGCAACTACAATTTAAGAGACAAAAGCGTCAGTGGAACAAGCGAAAAATTGGGAAGGACTCATAAGGTCAAGAAAATAGTATTTTTATCTTTAATTTTCTTTTTTTTTTATGATAGAATCCAACATATCTAAATAAATCACTGCATGGAGTCCCAGCCTCAAGTATTTTTCGTCACTTTGTACAGCTCATACAGCTCTCGCCACAATAATTGGCTCTGTTGATAATGAGGATTTTTAGTGATCTGAGCGCTGTGAGCCTGTGCCGAGCTCAAAGTCCAGGAAACACCTCTGATTTCACATATGGTCAGCCCATAACAGGTGTTACATTTGCTGCCTCAGACAAGCAGTCTTTACCTGACAGCATCCTTCAGGGCTCAGTAAGTCATGTTTTACTTTCCTGTTAGTTTGGGGAAAAGAGAAGAATCTGTGGGTCTTACATTTTCTTTCCAGAATACTCGAGACCTCCAAATCAGTTAAAAGATGAGACAATAGTGCTATTCATCCCCACCCCCTGTGCAGAGTGCTTTTGGTACAGCTGCTTCAAACCTCTTCAATAAGCCAGACGCAATTTTCACCCGTATAACTTGTTTTATCTCCTGATGAATATGAAACAGGGCAATTATAGGTAATTACGCCGACAATAGCAACAAAGGCAGCAAACACACAAATTCATTCATTATGTTTGCAGATCTTGCAGAGGTAGCCTCCTCGCAGCAGCGCCCCACAACCCTCGCAATATTATAAGCTCTGAATTTGTTTGGTTTGGTTAAATGTTAAAAGTGAATGGGGAGGAGCACGGAGCTCTGTCTTCCACAGTGTTGTCTGTTTTTACCGTTTGCCTTTAAGGTTTGTAAGTTTTAACACTGAACAGAAGAGACAAACCTCAGACTGAAAATGCTTCAGACTGTTGTCCAACCTGTATTACCAGCAGCTGTTGCCTTTCTGTTGTCTTTTTAAATAATGGCTTTAACAAAATATCATCAACACTAAATAAAGTACCCTTTGGTTTCTATTTCCTTGTTATTCATGGAAAGAGATCATCATCAGATTTGTTAGCTTTATACAGACTGACCTCCTAGTGCCGACCCTTTCTTGCCATAGTTTGAACTTTGAAGTAAACTGAACTGGACTTAACTACATTATTTTTCATGCTTCTGGGTTCTAGTCTGTCCCTGGTCATTACAGTTACAAGTAACATTTGGGTTCTGAGATTGGTCTGAACATTACCACAGTACCTCAGTAAAAATGACAAATGGCCACATTTATATAATGCTTTACAATTTGTACAATTTGGTGTTTATTGAGAGCATCAGATCAGTGTCTTGAACATGTTGGGGATCAAATCTCCAACCCTGTGGTTAGCAAACTAGTTTTGCTGTCTTTTGAACAACTATTAAACTTTGAAACTTCAATTTTTAAACTGGTTTAGGTATATAGTTGCTGCCTTGTTTGCCAAGGCAAAGACCAATGACAGGGTAATCTGGTCTAAAACCTTTCCTCAACGAATGCCTTCATGAGCCATACTAAACCACAATGATGGAAGCATAAACACACTCTTTGCAATACCACCAACCTTCTCATAGCTCTCAGCCTCGACATGTTTACACTGACGGAGCTGCTTGGCGACTGACTTGGGAAGCATTTGGTGCAGCAGATCCTCAGCCAGTTGTCTCTGGTGCCTCAGGTCCTCGGTTTTCTCCTTCAAGCTCTGAGCGTAGTTCTGTATCCACTCCGTCATCTGCTTGAAAGAGAACATCACCACCGGGTAGATGAGGCAGGCTATAGCCAGCAGGCAGACCCTCATACTGAGGCCCGAAGACACGGAACGAGACGCCAACCTGAGAGCCGGTACCGCACGATCAAACAAGCACTGCTTAGTGTTTATCAGAGCTTGAACTCCTGTGTGAGACCCAGACAGAAGCTCTGTTCCTGCTCCAGATATCTGCCACAGACTTGTATTAAAAATATAGGACTGTTTTACATGCTGACTTGAGTTTAACTTGAGGTCTATGTTCTCTAACCAACAGTCATTCAGTCGTTCTGTCATAACCCTGGAAAAGCCAAGGTGGCTTAGTACGTAAGTCCATTTGTATTGGAAGTCAGCTTGAGTTGCAATGTGATGGAAGTCCATCAACTGATGATTGAGCTCTATGAATGCTACCAGAAGTCTTGCAGACAGTACATCTCTCCAGTTAAAGTTCTGTCTGACTTTGACCAAAGTATCTTCGACTGTACCCCAGATGTCAAGAAGTCTTCCGATGACCAGGGAGTAAGCAGAGTAAGTAGCATTTTCACTCATGCCGTTTGTATCCAATGAAGTGTTTAGAAATCCTTGAACGCTCCTCCTCAGCTCTTGGCAAAATCCAGCCAGCTCAATGCTACAAGGGAGCCCATGGCCGTTACTGTGACCTGCCATGTCGCCACAGAGATGACCAAACACAGGAAACACAACCTCTGAAAAACTTGCCTCCAATGTCTCATTGCCCATGTCTTTGGTAAATAAATGTCTCATCTTTTGAAGCTTACTGACGAGTTGCAGGATTGCTATCGTCCTGCATGAAGTCAGCTCATCGTAAGCAGCCTCTGTAGTGTGCAGCAAGTCAAAGTTGGAGCTGAGGTCGATGGATACAGAGCCAAGCAATGCCAGGAAAGAGAGGAGGCAGGCTGTCAGAATCCGACGAACAGTGCGACTACTGCCAGACAGGGAAAATACAGAACACCTGGAAAAACAGGAATACAACTGTTGAATTACTGAAGGAGGCTTAAGGGGTCTGTAACCTTCAGACAAAGAAGAAGTCATCATTATGAAATGAACTGATACAAGAATTATTCATCGTTATGCATTTAAGTGAGAATCATATTTTATTAATCAATATTGATATTGTTCAGATTTAATCGACAAAATCACATAAAAAACACAGTCAATGCAAAATTCATTTCAGAGTAAACGAACAATAAAGTTGTATCGTATCGTAAATGTGTGTTTGACACAGTTAAAAATGATATTAATCAAATGTCAACCAAATTCAAACAATCAAAAATGAATGCATTTGAAGGCACTACTGGCCAGGAATAAAGCCAGACTCTACGGTTTGTGCTTGACAAACAATTATCCAAAAGTTTTATCGTACCCAAGAAAACTAGACAACAAAGAGTGGTACTGGCTCTTTCTTGTCTTCTCTAAACACCAAAAACATGTCAGTTACCCAAAACAAGCATTTCTCTATAAGAACTTGAGATACCCAAGGTCTTATAATCTCTCTGTCTGGAGTCTCTAGACAGTCTTAAACCACTCTTACATCATAGAGGGTAATGATCATTCAATCAGTGGAAAGAAATTATGACTTGATTGGAAATGTGATTGCTGATTAATGGTATTATTAGCGAAATAGCTAATTGTTTGGTTTCTGCTTCTCAAATATGAGGATCTGCTGCTCTTTGGAACATTTTTCACTACATTCTTACCTTTATGTGACTAAACCATAAAACAAAAGGTAATTCACTGCAGCCTGAAATGATACATTTGGAAGAAAAACACTTTCTCATCCTATTCTAAAAGAGTGAAACTAAGTGGGCAAACTGTGATCCCTAAATAGAAAATTACAATTAAAATGAATAATTATTCATTAACCCAGTCAGTCATAAAGAAAACAGAAGGGGACCCTGACATGAGGGGTCTGTATGAAGCATCCTAACTTTCTGGCAGAGTTCAGTGTGTCTCACCTGCACAGCGGACACTCACTGTCCGCATCCTGCTGCGCCCTCGGAGCGACCCTCCTCTTCTTTAGGAATCTTCTTTTGAGAGAAGCCGAGGACAGGGTCCCAGATGCGATACACTCTTTTTTCATCAAGTCCAGCGATGACATGAGACTCGAGCTGAAGTCAGGGTTCACTCTCAGACTGGGGCCCCGCAGGACAGAGGCACTGCAGAGGGAGCGCCGCACTGAAGAGATGTCCCGTTATCGGGAGCCATAAGGACCAAGGCGGCAGCAGCGTCTTCTCAACTTCCGGTACATATTTAAAAATAAAAGTTTCATTGTTAATGATTGAAATGAATACATTTCCCAGTGCACACTTCTTTATAAAAATACATGTTTTTGTTTCTTTATGGAACATTATAAAAGGTCATTGTATTTGTGACTGATCCTTGCATAAAAACCCAATAAAAAAGAAAATAATAAATGTATTTAGTTTTAAAGGGACAGAGTACCCAGCCAACAGGTATCCCTCAGGGTACGTTCCCTAAAGGTTCCTGTTTGGTTATATTTTTGCAAACAACCAGAGAGGGTTATTTTAACCCTGAAGGTTATTCTTGAACAACCTTATGTTTTATATTTCTATTTTGTGAGGCTTACGTGTTTAGTGTGGTTAAGATTGAAATGTTTATACACCGATCAGCCATAACATTATGAGCACTGACAGGTGAAGTGAATAACACTGATTATCTGGTTATCATGGCACCTGTCAGTGGGTGGGATATATTAGGCAGCAAGTAAACATTTT